CGGGGGAGCGGGTCCTCCTCGTTCGCCGCTGAGGGAGGAGGAGGAGGAGGAGGGAGGTAACGGCTCCGTTACCGGAGGGAGAGGCTGCTGCCCTGCCCTGCCCTGCCCTGCCTTGCCCTCCCTGCTGCTCTTGGCCTTTTTCCAGAGAGAATCAGCGGGCGTGCGGGGTGGACAGGGGAAAGAGGCTTTCCTTCGCCCCGCTGCTTCCTTTGCCTTGAACGTTTTAGGCTGTTCTCCTATATTAAGCTGCCTGGAAGAAGCGTTTGGTTCAGTCAGAGCATTGGCTTGGAGTTTCAGTCAGCGGATAGAGCTCCGATTTCACGGGTAGAGCCTTAAATAAAACCTGCTTTCTTGAACAGGAAAAAAAGACAAAATCAGAGTTTGTTCTGATGAACCCTCCTTGTGTTTGGAGTAGAGACCCAGCTCCCATTCCGCGCTTTCTGGCGAATCTGGATTATAGAGGGGTCCGATTTCCAGGCTGCCATGAGGAAAGGTTGTTGAAAAGCAACTGCGCGTGCCTTTGGTTGCTCCCGTGTCTCTCTTAAAAAGTAAACCAGTCTTGAATGCTGGTGGCCAGGTCCTCTGTTTTTCTAGGTATGCTCACTGAAGAAGTGTTTGTTAAATCTAGTAAGAGAATTTTCAAGACTAGTCAGAATTACTCACTACTCAAAGGCATGGAGAAATTCAGACTTTATCGTTTGCAGCCATTTAGCTATTAGGGGTTGGTGGCAGTTGCTGCCACTTATTTGCACAGCTTCTGCTTCCAGGAAGCAACTTTAAGGGATAAAAGGAAACAATGAGGTCCAAAATGTTGGTACTGACAGCATCCTGTGGCGAGATGCTTATTTTATTAATTTTGGTAAGTTATTAATGTAATTATTAAAGCTTTCTTAGGGATTCTTTCCCAAACACTTCACTGGATGGGGTAATAAAATAATACAGTCCTTTTCAGAATAAGTAAGTTGCACTTCCTTCATGTGTTGGTTTTGCATTGTGAACTCGTAACTTTTCCATATATAAAGGAAACTTGTTCTCTAGATTTTGAAGTGTTTTGCTCTAGACAGGTTATTGTTCTGAATTTTGGATGTGCTGGTGTTCTTCAGATGATAGTGTAGCATCTTTGTAGGATACTGTCAAGGAAGGAAGCAAGGAGAAAATAAGTATCTCGACTAGAAAAGATTTTTCCACTTGAAAAGACATTCTGGGTGCATTTGCAGAAGAGATCTCTGTGTTTTCCTCAGAAATGCTCATGTCCCTCTGTCACAGGGTGGGGATTTTTTTGGTTTTGTTCTTTTCTTTGGGGTTGGTGGGGGGTTTTTTTGGTCAAATGATCTCCAAACTTAGGCCTTCTGCTTCCAAATTAGCTTCCAGCATGTGAACCTGGGAGCTGGCAAGTAGCCAATGAGTCACAGGGTCTGGCAGAATGCTTATTTGAGGGATTAGGGTCTGCAATCTCCACAAGCACAAACTAAGATGTGTTTCAAAGCCAAACAAAAAATACATCCTTATAAAAACAAACCCCAGAATCAATGTAATGAAACTTGGGGATTTCTAAGTGACGATGTTGTAGCCAAATTGTCTTGCCAAGATGCAGTCCTTCTCATGCTTCAGACATAAGACAATATACATGACACTAAAATAAGTTTTCATTTAAAGTACTTGCTGAGAAGAAAAATGTTTCATGTTATATGGTCTGGTAGTGTAGCCAGGTGGTTAGCAGAGGGCCTCTCGTGTTGCAGAAGTCCAGTTTCCACAAACTTGGTTGAATCAGCTGATTATTATGAAAAAAATAAATTCAAGAGATGCATTCATTGCTTGAAAAGAATTAACATTTTAGTAGGTATGATAAATTTTATCTTGAATTTAGACACAAGTATTTTTCAGCTGCGTGAATAGCCATATCTCCATTAGCTTCAAAATGTCAATCAACTGAGCTTAAATGGAGCTCATACTTTGTCAGCTTTGTTTCTATCAGTGCGTTGCTTAACTAGGATGTGATATACAGAGTCTTGATTATAAAATACTTGATAAGAATAAATAGAAAACGCTAACAGTCATACATCTGGTTTTAATTTTGGCCTTTTTTAAGGTAGAAGCATCAAGAATTATTTTACTTTTTGTTTTACTTAGGGCTCAGAGATGGATTCATCAGAACGATCAACAATTAGAAGTGAGCAGAAATCCAGGTAACTTGTGTTGCACAGGTTATATAAAACTGTCTCTTAATGAAAATCTGAAAACACAATGGAAGTACATTACTGAAAATTGGATACATCATGCTTGGAAACTTGAAATGATCCCAGAATCTAGTTTCTCCACTGACCGAGTGCTTCATACTCAGAGTTAAGCTGTTCGTGAGGAATAAATAATACACTTGCTGAGAGGAAACAATTCATGCTGAATGTAGCAGGAAGGCATGGGGATTATCAGCAACATATTCTTTGTAAGCATTAGCTAGCAACCTTATCTGCATGTTTATTAATCGCTTTGCCTAGGGCCATTTCAAGTTAAATAAGGTTTTAGCTAGATCATTTCAGATGATCGTGAAGTAAGAGGTGTTAAACACCCAGATTATCAGATTAACAGGAATTAAAAATCTGTAAAGGTAGTTTTGAAAGTCAAGGGAATTCTAAGGTTCTGTATTACTGAAATCCTTGCTTGTATACAGTCATTTCACTGTATGGTTTAAATGCATTTTCACTTCTTCGCAAAGTAGTCATGAAAGCCAGACTTTCTCAACAGTTTCTTGTGCTGGTTTGCGCAGTGACTACTGACGTGGAACCAAATACGCCTTTGAGAGTAATCTGTGGTTAGTAACATCTGAATAGTGGGCTAGATGAACCCTTGATCGGAACAAGCATGACTGTTCTTACATTCATGTATCCTAAAGTGAGAATAAATGAGAATAAAAAATACTGCTTTTTCCCAGAAAAAAAACCAAAAATTTGTTTCTTTGAAATACTGTGACTTGTCCCTTTGAAATAGTTCTACTTACTTTCTATCAGGCATGTTTCAAGTAAGTCATTGGACAGTCCTTTGACTACTTTTTTCGAAATTCCATTTGAAATGGTGTTTGGCTAGCCCAGTGGACTGAAAATTGGTAATTGTCAATTTGGATCTCAAAGACATTAGTGATTTGAAGTTGACGGTTTTTGGCTTAAATTAATTATGCACACTTACTTGTCTAAAATGACAAAAAGACTTAAAGTACGTTGTCAGTTTGGGGAAGGGTGTGAACTGCTGCCAATACTATTCTTCTGTGTAGCAATGGAGAACTTGGTTCCTTTTGGCTGGTTAGTATTTTGCACAAGTGTTAATAGTTCATACGGACTTCTTGAGTCAGTCACGAGATCTTCAGACAAGTTAGAAAATGCACTGTTAAAAATGAAGATTTTTGTTTTCTGTTTTAAAGGAAGTTCTTAAAAAGTCTAATAAGAAAGCAGCCTCGGGACCTTCTTCTTGTAATTGGAACCGGCGTAAGTGCTGCAGTAGCACCAGGAATCCCAGCGCTGTGCTCCTGGAGAAGTTGCATTGAGGCGGTAATTGAAGCAGCTGAGCAGCTGGAGGTGCTTCATCCTGGAGATGTTGCTGAATTTCGTAAAAAAGTAATCAAAGATAGAGACCTGCTTGTGGTGGCACATGATCTCATCAGAAAAATGTCACCAGTGAGTCTGTTTGTAACTTACACTGATTTCTAAAATTATTATATACTTTTATTTTGTTATCAACAAAAATTCTTTTCAGCTTTCTAGAACTTGAAATTTTTCTGGTAAAAATTGAAATTTTGATGGTAATCATATAGTACACTGTACATTTTGGAGTGGCTAAAAAATCCTTGTTTTTAGTGTAAGTAAGCTTTTGTCTTAATTAATGCAAGTAAGAGTCCCAACTATTAAATATTCGCAATAATGTTTCTTGGAACTGAAAGAGGAATTTATAGCTGTGCCGGCTAAAACTAGAGATACCCTGAAAGTACAGGTAGACCTTGACCCTGTCGATAGCCTTAGATCACACAGACTTAATCACCGCTGTAGCTCACACTTTGCTGAAGACAGTCCATACATGCCCAGGTTCTCAGCTGTTCATCTTAGGTTCCGGAGGTTTTCAGATCGTGTTAATAGGTTTGCCAAGTCTTCTAGTTGAAATAATTAGGGTGACGTACATACTGCTAAGTTGCAGGATGTGTTGAGTGTTTTGCAAACCGTGGTGGGCTTCTCTACAGGCAAAGTGTAATAACCACCGCTCTCTTTTGGGAGGAGTCTGCATGTATGGTTAGGCTTTGTAGCAGATTTAATGATTAATAGATTTTTCTCAACCAGGAAGCAAAAAAACCCCCAACCCAAACCTCTTTAATGGTATATCCCAGACTCTGAATCCAGGGAATGATAATTTTAGTACACTAACTCATTTTCACAGCAGTAAAAGCATACTGAGAAAGGTGAGGTTTCCATGTAGTTAGGCCAGTAACTGTATTGGGCTTATAAACAGACCGTTGTTCTGCGTCTAATACAATTTATTGAATAGGAAGCCTGTATATTTTACAGAATTATTACAAGTTCCTGTCAGTCTCAGCAGATACTCTGGGCAAATGCAGCCTGCGCTTTTAGGAAAGCGTACCTTCATGTTTGTTTAGAAGTGACCAGTGAGGATTTAACTGTAGCAAAATAATTTTGTTTATTTTACCTGTATTACAAGCTTCCTTGAGAAAACCAGACTACTATTTTCAGCTACGTTAAGTAGAGGCAAGAGCACCTGAATAATTTGAGATTGTTGTTTTTGATGGTTTTGTACATTCAGACCTTTATGCTTTGTATACCACATAAGCCCTCTTTTAAAGAAACGCTTTGGCATTAAGTAGACAGATGAGGTGGATTTTCTGTTGGAGGCAATTCTAATGGTGCATGTGGTCCTTATGAAGTGTTCCTCTTTTTCTTTCTTCAGCGTACTGGGGATACAAAGCCCAACTTCTTCCAGGATTGCTTAATGGAGGTGTTTGATAATTTAGAACAACACATTCAGAATCCTGTTGTTCTGCAATCAATCCTGAGACTCATGGAGAGAGGCACAATGGTTCTGACTACAAACTATGATAATTTACTTGAAATCTTTGGTCAGCAACAGGGTAAACCTATGGAATCTTTAGACTTGAAAGATAAGGATAAGGTATGATGAGAGCAGTAAAATTTTAAGACTTCTAATAAGAGAAGGCAGATTGTAAGCTTCATTGAAAGATGTTTTCCTGTTTAAAGAGTGTCAAGGCTAAAACTTCTTAATTGGTAAAGCATGTCTATAAGCTAACAGCAGATGCACAGATATATATTTTATGTGTCTGTCTTATTCTGAATAATCTGGTAACAGTTACCAAAGGGAATTTCAGTGACACATTTATTAACCAATTCCCTCCCACTCCTTGGAAAAAAACCACAAAATTACTTAACTTACATGAAGTAATTGTTACAATCACAAATACGATTTCACCTAGCTGGTAGTTAATTTGCTGTTCGTATCTTTTGTGCCAGCGTTGCTGGAACTTGCTGCTTGGTTGAATGCTTGTTTAGACCAAAAAGCCAGAGGCATCTTCAGTATCGGCAATCACCTCTTTATTATAATTTAAAGTAAGCTTAGTAATTAAAATTACCTCTTGCTGCAGAAAAGTGCAAAAGAAGTTACTTCTGCTTTAGGTGACTTTGTAAGTTCGGACAGCTGTATATTTTTTCAGAATCTCAGTTATTGTAGTATATTATAACAAAAGAATGTAACTTGCATGATATGCTTTAGGTTCTTCAGTGGGCAAGAGGTCATATAAAATACGGAGTTCTTCATATTCATGGCTTATATACTGATCCCTGTGGAATGGTGCTAGATCCCTCAGGATATAAGGATGTTACTCAAGATCCTGAAGTCATGGTTTGTGTGATCTTTAAAATTTTTACTATGTTTTGCCAAACTATTTTATTGTAATCACTGCATACGCACTACCTATCATGTAGTTAAATAATTGGGGCCCAGAAAAATGGCAGTATTCAGAAAGCCAGCTATGTTGCTAGGGCAATGTGTGCTCTTGTATACTGCTGCTTTGTAAATCACAATCAAAACCCTCAGCTGTATGTCATAGTTTTAGAGTTTTTTGTATTTATCTCGTGAAAGAACATTAGCCGTAAAATACTAGACACCAGAACAAGGATTCATCACCATCTGATTGCTTGGATTCATTTTTTAGGGGCTTAAGCTGTTACCAGCTCTGGATTCTGGACTTAATGTCATATCTTAGGTATTTTAAGAAGTCAAACATTTGGTCAAGAATATTAATTTTCCTTATTTACAGATTGACCCTAACAGCACACCTGACCTAACAGCACACCATAATTCTTTCAGTTTAAAATTCCCTTACTGGAAATATTTACGTGTGTACTTATTTTTGTACAGTAACTTTGATTTTGAACATAAACTTTTTTGTAGAAAGAGTACTTATGAAATGTCAGTTTGCCCTGATCCTAAAACATATGCTTAATTCAGTTCAATAGCGATGTCTGCTCTGCTTCTCCTTTTAAGTCTGACATTCTAAAAGTTCTTACCTTGGCCTTTTGACTACTGAAGTAAATGTAGCTTGTGCATGTTTCTATTTCTTAACAGGAAGTTCTTCAAAATTTGTATCGAACCAAGTCTTTTTTGTTTTTGGGCTGTGGAGAGACTCTGCGCGATCAGATATTCCAAGCTCTTTTTCTTTATACTGTAAAGAATAAAGTGGATTTAGAACATTATATGTTGGTGCTTAAAGAAAATGAAGACCACTTTTTTAAGCTCCAGGCAGATATGCTGCTGCACGGAATAAAAGTAGTGTCCTATGGGGACTGTTTTAAACAGTTCCCAGAGTACGTACAAGATCTGACCGCTCAAATCTGCAAGCAGAGAAGTCCAGGTAATGTCTCCTCTTTCTTTAATAAGAAAATTTTGAGCAGCTATGTAGCAGGATGCCATGTCTGAACAATCAGCACTTGGTCTGAGGTGTTGACCTCATGTGTAGCTGGCCTGTGTAGCATCTTTGCTTATGAATGGCATGCAGAGTTGGAACACTTGACAAAATTCCAACCAAATTTCTTTCTGTAAGGTCTGTGGATTCTTGCAAATTTAATCTTTAATTCTGAATTTGTCTTTTTGTTAGCATTTAGTTAAGATGTTTACTTTGTGTATTTTTTTGGCGTGAACTACTCCAGTATATTGAGTATTAAATTATATGAAATATGACATGTCAGTAAAAAAGACTAAAAGAATTGAAGGAATTAACTGGTGGGATAAGCTGGTTGAGCCACAATATCTGATTAAGCATAGAATGGGAAATTAAATCAGTACACCCAATAGTGTTTGGTTTAACACAGTTAGGACGAGTGGGGAGAAAACCTGAGTGTGAGGGTAACGTTTTATGACAATAAAATAGAAGAGGCTGTGGAGTAATACTCCATTTGCGACAGCGAATGGCGTTCTGTAGAGGGCATTTAATGCTAAAATGGGAAATACCTTGATACCTTTGCTGAAGGTAACGACTAGTCCTGCATCAACAGGGAGCTAAATTTTACTAACTAGGTCCATTCACTTACTTTCCCCCCTGCTCCCTTCCATCCTGTTGTCTCTCAACTCATAAAATTCCTTAGCTGTAGCAATGAAGAGCCTTTAATACAAAACCAGGGAAAAACAACTGTATGTTGAAGGAAGGAGATTTCTTCAGTGTTTTCCAAACAAGGACAGTTCTACTCTGGCTTAGCCAGAGAATTGAGGAGAATAACTAGAGTAAATGACCTTGGGAAGAATACTGTTTCACAGCTCTTTTATCATGTCAGGGAAACTGTTTTGTCTAAAATTATTCCCAAGTGGTGCATAGCAGGAACCTTCCCCTTGCCCTCCCTAAAAGAAAACTGCAGGTGTATACCCAAATTATGTAATGGTTTTTGTAACTGGATGAACATTACATTTACACTGGATTAGATTTTTCTTTCCATGAAGGCTAGAAAAAATACTTAGCACAGCATTTAGGTTTCAGGAAGTTTGTCTGCGGTGTAGACACCCAGAAGTAAGTTGGGGTGCAATTTCAGACACTGAAGTAGCCTCAGCCTGCTAGTTTTTTTCTTTGGCATGCTGCTGTTCATGGATGTGATGGACATACTTCTCACAGTCTGGGCAGTGTCTAGAGCCTGTGGAGTCTGGAGTGTCCAGTTTATTGCGAAGCAGCCATTGATATCAAAACAGGGTGGGAGATATATTTACATAAGCTCTAAATGGAAATGATTGCAAAATCGGACTATAATCCTCCCTTTTTTGTTCAGTGGAATTACTGATTGGGATTAATACTTGCAAGAAGAGGGACCTTACTCTGACTGCAGAATCTTGTTGATCTCATTTGCAAGTCAAGATCCCAAACAAAACTGTTTTCAAGTGTGCATTAACTGCTCTTCACATTACCAAACTGTCAGGTTTCATTGTTTCATGCTTATTTACAAACTCTCTTTTAAAAAAATAGCAGAAGGAGTTTGTTAAAAGGCTTATATGAAAGAAATGAGAAATGCAGGCCCTGATCCTGATAGCGGACTTCAGCCACCCCGGCATCTGCTGGAAAAGCAGCACAGCGAACTGCAAGCAGCCCAGGAAACTACTGGAGTGTGTTGAGGACAACTTCCTAGTACAGGTGATGGAGAGCCCAACCAGAGGAGAGGTGCTGCTGGACCTGTTGCTCACTATCAGAGAGGTCAAGATGGGAGGTAGCCTGGGCTGCAGCAGTGATGCTCTGGTAGAATTCTCAATTTACTGATGAAGCAGAAGTTGCTAAGCCATTATCCATATTTGAAAAGTTGTGGCAAACTGGGGAAGTTCCCACTGAGTGGAAAAGGGGAAA